AATAATTGCAGATTTCAGAAATAACATAATCAGAGCTACAAAAAAATGGCAATATTAGGAACTGCATATCTACTACGTCAATATTTACCAGCTACTTAGGTTTTTTAAAAACTTGTACAGTATCTGTTACCACCAGTCCCATGTTTTTGTAATTTTGATTGACTGTTTCTGGTATTTTTGAATCCTCCTCCTCCTCCTCTTAGAACTGCAAAGCTGGAAGGGACCCTACAGATCGTCTAAGTCCAGCCCCCTCTCAAGAAGGCCCCGTGTTTGGGGGGGGGAGAGAATCGAACCCCCAACCTTCGGCTCTGCAGCTCCAGAGACCAAAACCGCCTTTTAAGTCTCGAACTCCTGCAAAACGTGAGCCGAACAAGGAGAAACCAGGCCATTATTAAGCCCCATGCCAGCTTTAAAGTTTGCGAAGCGGCTGCAGCAGAGCAAGGGGGCAGGCGCTCAGCACAAGCAAGGACAGCGAGCGAGACGAACAAAGCGCTTCACGACCGAGTTTAGAACAGGTATTTTTTTACAAAGGACAACAGCCAGAACTCTGTGGTTCGTTGGGCGGGCCCAGGCAGGCTCTCCCTAGCCTGCGGGGGCCTCTTGCCGGATGAACCCCTCCTTCCCCCAAGTTACCTGGTCTGGGCTGGAACTCCTTCTTCGCTTCATGGGGGCCGGCATCTCTTCTCCGTGCCCGGTGTGGGGTGGGTGCTGGACTGGAGGGATGGGCTGAACCACGGGGGGCTCCATGGCCGGGCCGGGCCTCTTCAGCTGCGGGGTGCGCTTGGCAGAGAAATTTCTCTTCTGGAAATTGAGGGGGTGGGCGAGTGGGTGGGTTAAGGGGTCGGTCAGAATTCATTTCCTTGGTCCACAAAAAAACTGGATGCTTTTGAGAAGCAGAAAATGGAAAGGATTCCCCCCAGGCCAGGGTTTACTATCTATCCCCCTCCCCCCCGGCCCTTCTTGCATACAAATCAGGTGATAATAAGGCTTTCAAGTTTTCTGATCATTAATTTATTAGCATTTAAGGTGCCACGGGGTCTTTGTTGTTTCTGCCATTGCATGGGACAGATCTGCTCAGAGATAGCAGATTTACTGGTTCAGCTCTCTTGTCAACACTAATTCGATAAGAGCGATAAGGGGCCTTGTTCTCTGTCTTTCAGACTTTGCTTTCATTGGGAAATCAGTGCCTGAGTACAGTGGGCTGGGGTAGAAGCTGATGAATGCACGTAATATTTTCATGTCATCACAGCAGGACTGGTCTTCGTGACAGATTAGTCAGTAGCAGTTAATGCCTGGCTCGTCAGCCACGATAAGCAAAATATTGTTAAGATTTCTTTGCTGGGAATCTAAGAAGTGGGATGCACACTCCAGAACAAAATTAAACCTCAAGTCTCAGGCCTTCCGTTGAAGGGAGCTACAAACGTCCCCCATGGGGCTTTCAGATCTGGAGCAGGACAGAAGGTAGAAATTTTTTTCCAGCTTTACAACCTCCTGGGGTGGTTAAGGCAACGAATCAAGAGTGGTGGTTTGGTCCAGGCAGATACGGGCTCTGACGTGGGAGAGAATTCCAATACACGAAGCAAGGAAGGGCCTTTTGGGTTGTCCCGCCGAGGGGTGACTCAGAGCACGACACAAGGGGAGATCGGTGTGTGTTTGCGTGTGTGGATGGGGGGGAAGGTCCTCCTGCTCTCTGCCCTCCACTCACCTCAAGGTGCAGGAGGTTCCAGACCTGTTGCAAAGGCGGCAGTGTTTTCGAGCGATGGTGGGACGGCCCCGAATGGAAATTCCACAGCTGAGCCTGGAGAAAGGAGGAAGACTGTGCTGGGGTGGAAGGAACGTGGCTGAATGAAAGCGGACCCCGGCCTTCTCAAATCCTCTCCGTCCAGACCGTCTCGCCTGGGGTGTCGCCTCCCCAAAGCCGAAGCTTCCTATCCTGCTCCCCACCTCTACATCCCCCCACTCACCTGCTGCAGCCGTCCAATCCGGGCGTGCATCTCCCCATAGCTGCCATAGTCCCGCTGGTACCGCACGGCGTTCTGGTAGCAGCGCACGGCCTCCTCACAGTCCTGCTCCGACTCGTAGATCTCGCCCAGCTGTTCCCAGAGCTGGGGTTGGCCCTGATCCCGCAGCAAAGCCTGGACGCAGCTATGGATGGCCTCCAGTTTTCCATGCAAGGGCCGGGGCCCCAGATTCCTGGCGGAAAGAAGAGGGAGACCCCCGTAAGAAGACAAACGGATCGGGACAGAAACTGTGAAAAACACACGGACCGGCCACGGATTTATTTCTTGTATTTCCTATCCAACGTTCTGTCAAAGCAGAGCAGTGGGGTTCTCCTCCTCGCCCCTTTGATTTGCACAACAATCCAGTGAAGTAGGATTCAACTCAAGAAAGAATAAACGGCCCTAGGGTTGCCCGTAGGAAGTGTTCCCTGGCCCAGCGGGGACTCAAATGCCAGTTCCCGATCTCCTCCTTGAACCAGGACTGCATCCCATAGTAGTCTGCCCCCTGCTGCAGGGCAGCCTCATGACGACAAGAGATGAAGAGGGCCGCAGAAGACAGGATTGCTCGTTTAGAGAGTTGTCATGAGTCGGAGGCAACTATGCAATTTTGTATGGCATTTCTAACTGTTATTCCTGTATAATCTTAATTGTTGGGAGCTGCCTTGGGTCTCCTACAGGGAGAAAGGCAGCATATAAAGATATAAAATTAAATTAAAAATAATAAATGCTGCCGCCCCAGACTCTGATAAATGACATTCTCATTTACACGGCTGGGACAGCCTGTCCTCTCTGTATGTATGTATGTATGTATGTATGTATGTATGTATGTATGTATGTATGTATGTATGTATGTATGTATGTATGTATGTATGTATGTATGTATGTATGTGTGTGTGTGTGTGTGTGTGTGTGTGTGTGTATGCATGCATGCATCCAATAAGGATACAGGTAAAAAATTCCTATCTGGCCCCAAAAGGCAACCAGATAAACTCACACTAGTATGTATGTATGTATGTATGTATGTATGTATGTATGTATGTATGTATGCATGTATGCATGTATCTATCTATCTGTCTATGTATGTATCTGTCTGTCTGTCTGTCTGTCCGTCCGTCCGTCCGTCCGTCCGTCCGTCCGTCCGTCCGTCCGTCCGTCTATCTATCTATCTATCTATCTATCTATCTATCTATCTATCTATCTATCTATCTATCTACCTGTATCTATCTATCTTTATACCCCGCCCATCTAGACACACATCTACTCTATATCCTTCCTCCATCCCTTTTCCTTTCTCTTTCCCTTCCAGTCCCTTCCAGTCACCAAACATTACTTTTCAATTATTTTTAAAGGGGAAAAAAATGAAACACTACAAGCGGTTGCTGCACAGGACAAAGCAGACATACATGGCCAAGAGACACCCTGTTGTAGCTAAAGAAGTAACTCGCTGCAATGACATTGTGGAAAAAGTGAAATGATCTCTTCTCCAGTTACCATTGTAACGGAACTTAAGTTATGCCTCTGTGACTCTGCCAAAGGGGGTCGAGTACACTCATTACATCTCACCGGCTCCTTCCAAATTCTGTGGCTGGGGAGGGAGGTTAAGGAGGAGGCAGGAGGGAAAAGTCAGGAACCAGACTTCAAAGCACCAGGGGCAGAGCCAAAAAAGCAACGCTTTAGAGGGGAAAGGGAGGAAGGCGGAACGGCTGCTACGGTCATCAAACCAAGCGCTCCCCTCTCAGCCTGCTTTTTCGGCTTTGCCGCGCTTGGTGGCCGCTGCAGCCCTGCCACTTTGGTTACACTCCCATAGGGAAGCCTCTAAGGCACTGCTGTGATGCCCACCACGACCAAGAGGGGTGGGGATTGGGGCCCTCCCCTCTGCATGCTTGCAGGAACACTTACGCTGGTGGGAAATAGCCCTTGCTGTGTTGTCCCATGTTAGACCCATGGCCAGGCGGCAGGTGTGGGGGCAGCTGAGGCTGACCAACACTGGCGGAGCACCTGTGGACGGGCACACGCGGCGAAGGGGGGGGGAAGGAGAGAAAGCCATTAAGAAGACGAGCTGAGACTTGTGTCACACGAAGGAGACAAGAGCCAGACTTACCTGGCCAAAAGTCCTCACCCGCTCCTGGTTGTGTATTAATCAATTAAATGTTTTCCATTCCTCAGAGTGTCCTTTATTTTTTTTAATGGTATACTTATTGTTCTTAGCTGGAAATATTGTCGTTTAATGGTGTAAGATGCCTCTTTATCCTCCTTGATTTTAGCTTTAAATGTTGTTAACCCGCTGTTGTATGTATACGCATTACTTTCAATTTCAAACATTCTCTTCCAATGGTGCAATCCACCTTGGGTCTTTTTCACAAGGAGAAGGGCGGGGTAAAAACATTTTAAAGAAATAAAAGAAAATACATTTGTACACCACCCTTCTAACCGGCGGTCACTCAGGGTGGATCACCGCGAGGACAAGAACATAAAAACCCAACACGAATCCAAAAGCAATGAACTTTAAGCTAAATTCAATGAAACGGACAAACATGTAAAAACAGATTAAAATGGGTGGCAGTTACATCTACAAGGGTGATGCTCCCGATCCACCCCTGAAGTCGAGTGAAGATAGCAGAGGTTTGTGGACTGGGGAGGGGGGGATGTCTTAAAATCCCATAACCTTTTTACTAGCCAGAGTAGTGGATTCTGAGAACTGTAGTCCAAGAAAGACGAGAAAGCTTTGCCAGGTCTGAATTTGAGTCACACGATGGCTGGGAGGCAGAGGAGAGAAGCAAGATTCTTCCTCCCCCCCCCCACCATGCTGTTTTTACTTACACACACACACATACAAACACACACACCTGTCCAAGAGAGAGAGAGAGAGAGAGACCCACCTGCCGCCTGGGAGCCATGGTCGAGAATGGCACGAACTCCAGGAACCACCACTGCAGCCCAAGTTGCCAAGAGAGAAAGGGTCCCGTCCAGCGCGGACCCCGATCTGTTCCACGGTGCGATGCATCCAGTCTGGGGGGGGGAGAGAAAGAAGTTGAAAAACAATCCAGGACCTAGAGACTGGGTTTCTGAGACCCACTCCCTTGGGGAAGACTCTTCCTCAATACATTTGGGGTTTGGGTCAGGAAAAGTTAATTCGGAGTGTTTCTCCAAAAACAATATTCCAAGATGCAAGTGAAGAGGGAAGACCTTTTTTTTTTTAAGATGGAGGTCTTCAGAGTTTGTTTTTAGACTACAACACCCAGAATCCCCCAGGTAGCAGGAATGCTAGGTACTGACCATGAATGCAACGGCCCAATGGCAGGAACTCCTTGAATGCTGTTTGAAACTGTAGACAAGGCTCAACAAAGGTCTTTGTGATAGGTTACGGTAATTAGCCGGAATCACGTACTCAGCACACTAAACCAGTGGTCCCCAACCTTGGGCCATTAGCCGGAATCACATACTCAGCACGAGTACACTAAGCCAGTGGTCCCCAACCTTGGGCCTCCAGAGGTTCTTGGACTTCAACCCTCAGAAATTCTGGCCAGCAGAAACGGTGGTGAAGGCTTCTGGGAGTTGTAGTCCAAGAACCTCTGGAGACCCAAGGTTGGGGAGCCCTGCAAGCAAAGTTCTACATATGGGTTTTCAATCACAAACATACTTTTATTGTGTCGTTTTAAACGATAAACCGGGGCTTAGTAAAGTTATATTTCAGGACTTCTGTGCCGGCTGGGGGATTCTGGGTATTGTAGTCTTGCCAAGCCCTGCAATAAACCAGCTGAAGTAAAGGAAGAATTAAAAGGGACCCATAGCTCAATATGCACCTCTGGGGCTCAAGCCTCCACAACCCTAACAGATTTTCTCCTACCCTAATTTCCATCCCATTCCCCCTGCACCCCCCCAGCCAAACTTCATTTCTTTAAAGCATTTGTTTATTGCTTTCCTATCCAGTAGGACTGGGTAGTGATTTACAACAGCTTAAAAGTATTAAAAACAGATTTAAAGCATATTTCAAAAACCAAAATTTAAAAGCAGATCAGAAACATTCTTTCCAAATAGATCTCTGAATGCTCTAAAAAGCCCTTACCTTTTCTGCCGCTGTGGATGCGTCTCTGTACCCCCCCTCCACCCCCCCAGGATCTCAGCGACGGGTGACCCCCACCCAATCGCTGCTGGCTGTGTGTGCCCTCCGGATGACGCTCTCCGTCCTCCAGTCACAGAGACATATAATGCTGAAGAGGGATGGGGTGGGGGGTTCAGTGATGGCGGAGGGAAGGAGGAAAAACAAGAGAGAAGCAGTTACTTTAAAATCCTACACTAACGTTTGCTTTCTACTAAAATGCATTGGGTTAATGTTGTAAAGGAAGTACGGGATGAATATGGAGCAGATTTACGTACATCCATTTTTAAAAAAGAGGAGACCCATTGAAGCAACGGGAATTACAGTGGTGCCTCGCTAGACAGTTACCCCGCACGACAGTTTTTTCGCTAGACATTGACTTTTTGCGATCGCTATAGCGATTCCCAAAACAGTGATCCCTATGGGGGAATTTTGCTGGACAATGTTTGGTCCCTGTTTCGCGAACCGATTTTCACCAGACAACGATTTCGACAGCTTCCTCTGCGCTCGCAAAACAGGTGTTTTCGGGACCTAAGCTTCACAAGACAGCGATTTAAACAGCTGATCGGTGGTTCGCAAAGCGGCTTTCCTATGGCCGATCTTCGCTAAATGACGATTCTTCCCCATTGGAACGCATTAAACAGGTTTCAATGCATTCCAATGGGGAAATGCTTTTCGCTAGACAATGATTTCGCTAAACAGCGATTTCAGTGGAACGGACTATCATCGTCTAATGAGGCACCACTGTATTAAGTCAACATTTACAGAAGTCTCACAGATTCAGCGTCCCTGCTCTTGTTGAGGTCAAGTATAACAAATAAATTCATATGTGGATTTCTAAATATTTAATATATATATTTTTAAAAAATGAATGAGAGAATGTTCAGATGAATATTACAACCCCAAATGTATAAAGAAAACACGCGCACACAAACTTGCTAAACATTGTTATTATAACAGTTGCTAAATTTTGTTCACCTATTCAGTTGAATAATGCATTCCAATGCAAAAAAAGGTTTATTCCAACAAAATTTAAATGTATCCCCATTTTTTGCGTTACGTAATAAAACAGATAACTTACAAGTTTCAGTGCAATTGAAACAAAATGCCTTGAATTTGAAGTCGCTAAATGAAAACAAGCTTTGAAAAACCCAAAACAGCAGTTTTATAAGATTAAAAAGGAGGAGGAAAAACCAGGAGTTTAGCTGTTTTCTATTACGAACTCTTATATATTTTTTTAAACCAATGGGTTTATTTTTGCCAGCAACTTTGCAACAAAAAAAAAACCGAACAGGTGGAGGCCAAAACCTTTTAAACTTCTGTACTTAACCTTTAGTTTTCTATTAGTCTTTTAAAAAAACAACCAATAATTTTTAAAAAAATATAAAACAATGGAGTCATTCATTTTTTTCCCCAAACAAAGGATTCATTTTTGCCACCCGTTTTCGCAAGAATTAGTGAACAGGTGGAGGACAAAGCCTTTTAAACTTTTGTACTCCCGGATATTAATGGCCTGGAGATAACTGCTGCTCCAGAATCAGCTTGCTTTTTCCCTCTGACTACACAATTAAGTCTGGGGAAGAAGGAGTTAAAAACAACACCACAGCAGGCTCTAGCCCTTCAATGAACACTAGCCCCACCCCCTCCGTGACCTGGACCCTCTCCCCCTCTTCCAATGGGATGCCTTCTTTTGGAGAAGGGAGGCGGGGACTCAGAGCAAGCACCCAGAGTTAACTCCTGCTTTGCCACTACTGTATAAACCACGCCTTGCATTACCCACTTACCCTCCTCCTGATGCACTTAGTGGTGTGCACAGGGACACACACACACACACACACACACAAAAAACACACTTGCTATTGATCTCTTTCTCAGAGCAGATGGCCAATCACAGAACTTCCTTCGTGTAGCCACCAATCATCTTCTACCTCAGTCTCCTAATGAGGTCTGGAACCATAGAGACAACAGGGAAAGAGAGAGAGAGAGAGAGAGAGAAAGGGAAATGAAAGCAATGACTGAGTAGCATCCTTTTTGCATTCCTGTTTTGAGTAGAAAAGCGCCTCCCAGGGGTGGTGGGTGGCAGATCCCCAGCACCAGAG